GAGAGAGAGAGAGAGAGAGAGAGAGAGAGAGAGAGAGGGAACGTGTGAGCGCTAACTGGGAACAGTGTGGGCTTTTGAAGCCTCAAAGCCCACCCCCTGTGACATACTTCCTCCAACAAGGCCACACCTCTTAATCCTTCCCAAATACTTCCACCAACTGGGGACCAAGTATTCAAACATATGAGCCTATGGAGGTTATTATCATTCAGATCATCACAACAACTATTTCTATAGTTTAATTTCATAGGATTTGAATTTCTAGGCTAAAGTGTATAGATCATTATAAAGCAGCAGTTTTCAACATGTAGGTCATGATCTCTTTGGGGGTCAAAGGGCCCTTTCATAGGGGTCACCTAAGACCAACAGAAAACACAGATGTTTACATTAAGATTTATAGCAGTAGGGGCTGGTGAGAAGGCTAGGAGCACTGACTGCTCTTCCAGTGATCCTGAATTCAGTTCCCAGCAATCACATGGTGGCTCACAACCATCTGTAATGGGATCTGATGCTCTTTTCTGGCATGCAGGTGTACATGCAGGCAGAGTACTCATACATAAAAAATAATTAAAACAAAATAAGGATTTATAACAGTACAAAAATTACAGTTATGAAGTAGCAACAGAAATAATTTAATGCTTGGGGGTCACCACACCATGAGGAACTGAATCAAAGGGTCACAGCATCAGGAAGTTTGAGAACCACTGTTATAGTCTTTATTTTTTAACTTTTCATTTTGGGATAACATATAAGGCTTACCAAAAACATTTGTAAAAGTGTTAGAAGGAATTTGAGCCCTAACTGTGCAATCTAAAGTGAGCACAGTGTAATTCTCTAAACTAGGAACCACTTTGCTGGATGCTGCTAGCTTGTCTGTAGATGTACCCTTTGTCATGCCGTTGCCCTGTGCTTGGGACCACCCATGCTCACACACTGCAGTGAATGTCTGTCTCCTCAGTCTCCCTTCATCTCTATCGTTTCACTATTACTTAGTTACTTATTAAGACTATGACACTTTAAGAGCACTGGGCTTATTTATTTTATGGACAACACCCCAATTTGGGCTTGTCTGATGTTTTCCCATGACTACTAAGAGTATACATTTTGGGCAGTAGTTCCTTAGAGCTGAGATTGTATCCTTTGAGGCACAAGATGTTGACATATTTAATTGCTGGTGATGTTTTTGAAAGATGACTAATCTCATTTAGTTAGGCTACACAAGAATGGATTTCATTGTGACATTCTGTTGTGTGTGTGCTGTTGTACTTTGCTTGCAGTCACCCCTACTGCCCTTGGTGTTCCCACTCCTGCTAGTCCATCCTTCAAACATGGATGGTGTTAACTTGGTTGACTTGCTTGATTAAAGCTGTGCCTGCCAACTTACCCACTGAGCCAGTAGTCCTTAAAGTACTCCCTTAGCTTAAGAGTGGTGTACAAGAGTGGGTTTGTTGTTGTTGTTGTTGTTT